GCCAAAGCTCCATAGCACGACACGTGGGTCGAACGGGCTGGAGTTGCAGGCGGCGATGTCGTCTAGGTGCAGCCCGAGCCTCTCGCCCGGCGGATACACTAGCGCGCCGCCGGTGCTCGTGTACTCGCGCTCGTCAGCCAGCGCCGCAACCTCGTCGGCCGCCGCCGCGTGCCCACTACCGCGCAACTGCACGGCGCTCGCGCGCAGTGCCATCCGCGTCTCGCCATGCAGCAAGGTCGTGGCGGCCCCGCTCTCGTCGACCCAGATGGCGCCTTTGCCGCTGGCGCGGACTTGCTCCAAGTGCTGCGCGGCAGTCGTGAGCAGCTGCGCCACCACCAACTGCGAGGCGGCGGCGAGAGCCTTGCGGATCAGGATCACGTTTTCCCCGGGCGATGCGTGCAGGACCTCGACCTGGAGTGTGGGCGGCGGCAGCAGACGCGGCACGGCAGCCGGGCTTGTGCAGAGTGTCGACGACGCCACGAAGCCGTTCTCCCTCCAGCGCTTGAAGCGCAGCGGCGGGGCCGCCGCGGGAGCAGGTGCGCAGCCCATCCACGAGCTGCTTGCGCCGCTTGCTGGTGCGTCCGGCGCTGCATTTTCCCCAGCCCCGTGCTTGCGCTTGTTCGTTGGCGGCGCGCTGCGCTGCACGCGCCGCGTCTTGGTCGAATCCGTTGACGAGATCTGCTTCATGTCAGCGAACATGATGATGTACGGGTGCGAGCGCACAGTTATGGACACCGATGGTTCCTGCCGCATGTAGGCGCCCTCGATGATGCGCGAGACGTCGGCGTCGTAGCGACTGAAGGCGCGCCTCAGTTCCACGGCCCAGGACGCGTCGGTGTCGGAGTCGGGCATCGGCGCGGTGTGGAGGTCGGCGGCGGGAGGGCAAAAGTGGTTAAGACCGCGCTGCCAAAATGGTGCGCTGCGCTAGGCTCAGAGCGATCGGCCACCGTCTCGGAGAGCTTGATGAGCTCCTGCACCGCGCCAAAGTCGCACCCCTTGCACGCGGCGAGATCGAGGATCACAAACCAGGGCGGCATCACGGGCACCGGCGGCGCAGCCTCGTCGCCACCGCCGTCTGCAAGTCCGTCGGCGCTACTTGCTTCACCCTTTGCCGTGGCCCCGGACGTGGTGTCACTGTCCGCCTCGGCGACGGCAGCCACCGCCCGCGAGAGCTGGGGCGACGATCCAAACATCAGGAAGCCGTGTACCGAGACGATGTGGATGTTGGCGGCGCCGTACTCGAGCAGAAACGTGCGATGCATCCAGGGCCGCACCGTGTTTGACTGCAGCCCGTCGGTGTGCACGCGAACGATGGGCGCGCGCGAGTAGATGATGACGAACTTGATGAGCGAGACAATCAGGCCAAAGATCAGGCCGGACAAGAAGCTGCACGCCATGAGCAGGGGCACGACAACCACGAGCAGCTTGTCGACGATGGTCTCCAAACCTTCGCCCATGAATCCGATGCCCATGTGCGCCATGTAGGCGCCAACGACCGCGCGTGGCACCGAGGCGGCCACGTCCGACACCACCAGCGTGGAGCAGGCGGCAAAGAGGACGACCCACGGGCCCGCGCGCGCACGACCGCGCAAGCCGCGACTCAGGCTCATGTTTGCCACGCTCGGGGATAGCTGCACGTAGTTGGGGATGGTACCAACGCACGCGGCGAACAAGTTGGCCATATGGCCATGCCGATCGAGCTGAGCTCTCGATCGAGGTCGAAGGAGGCGGCCGCGGGCGGCGGCCGCTCGGTCTCGCCCTGCCGCGACGCAGGCCGCGCCGTCGCGACCGCCTCGACCGAGACGAGGTCTGTTGGTCACGAGCGAGTGCACCAGGCAGCAGGAGAGGGAGTAGGGGAGAGCCGAGAGGACCACCGCCCACTGCACCCCTCCGAACGAGAGTTGCGAGAGGAGCCCCAAGGGCGAGGAGGCCGAAGGGTCGGCGTCGGCGTCACCGCCCTCGCCGCCGCCCTCGCCGCCGCCGCCAAACCACCAGTGCTGGTCCAGATCAGTTTGCAGTGCCAGTCCCGTACGCGTACGCGCCCGGTGAGCGGTGTCGTGCGAGGGACTTTGGTTGTAAAATTCTCTTTCATCACTCAGCTCACGTTACACACTTACCAGCACACAACGCACAGCGGGGGCGGAGGAGCAGCGCCAATCCGCCTCACCTCCCCAACACCCGAGCGTCTTCCCTCAACCCGCCCGCCGCCTTCCCCGCCAAGGTAGCCGAGAGGCAGGCTTGCAGCTCACTCTGTCACTCACGATTCCCCTCTCACTGGCCCGGCGCCCACACCTTGATCTTCTTGGGCAGCAGCTGGTTCGACAGGTCCTCTCCGTGGCCTAGGCAGTCGCTCTCGCCCTTGCCCCACGTGAAGACGGCGCCGTCGGCGGTGAGAGCGAGGCTGTGAGCCTCTCCAGCCGACACAGCGACGACGCGCTGGCCAGCAAGGTTCTCGACCTTCTTCGGCAGCAGCTGGGCCTGCTGGCCGCCGTGGCCCAGTTGGCCTTCGCCTCGCTGTGCCGCTCTCCCGCCGACACAGTGACGACGCGCTGGCCAGCAAGGGTCTCGATCTTCTTGGGCAGCAGCTGGCCCTGCCAGTCGCCGTGGCCCAGCTGGCCAAAGGCTCCCAAGCCCCAGCTCCAGACGGCGCCGTCGGCGGTGAGGGCGAGGCTGTGGTGCTCACCAGCCGAGACTGCGATGACGCGCTGGTCCGCAAAGGCCTCGATCTTCTTGGGCAGCAGCTGGCACTGCTCATCGCCGTGGCCCAGCTTGCCAAAGGCTCCATTGCCCCAGCTCCAGACACTGCCGTCGGCGGTGAGGGCGAGGCTGTGCATAAGTCCAGCCGACACAGCGACGACGCGCTGGCCATCAAAGGCCTCGACCTTCTTCGGCAGCAGCTGCTGCTGCTCGTTGCCGTGGCCCAGCATGCCGCGGCTTCCAAAGCCCCAGCTCCAGACGCTGCCGCCGGCGGTGAGGGCAAGGCTGTGGCAGCCTCCAGCCGACACGCTCACGGCGCGCTCACCGCCCAGCGGGGAAGGGAGGCGGGTCGGCGTGTTGAGCCGCGTCACGCCCTCGCCGTGGCCAAGGATGCCTGGGAACTGAACCGGCGCACAGCCGCACGACGAGAGCCGCCCCTCGCCGTCGATGAAGAGGCTGTGGTAGCGGTCTGCCGCCGCCCTCACCGGCGGGTTGGCCTCGCACAGCAGCGCAGCGAAGCACAGCCACCGGACGGCGCAGCTCTCGCCCTCTGGCTGCGCCGGCAGCTCGAAGCCGCTCTCTTGCGCCCACAAGCGGATGCCCTCTAGCGCGAGCGAGGCGTGAAAGAGCAGCGAGACGGCCGCGACGCGAGCGATGTCGGCGGGGTCGCAGCGGGAGATGACGCGCGCGAGAAGCTCGAGGGGCAGGTCGGTGAGGGGGCAGCGTGCGGCGGCGGCGGCGGCGGCGGCGAGGCGGCGTGAGCGGCGCAGCGGGCCTGACATCGCGAGAAAAAGAAAAACACCTGCCGCGCATTGTGAGTGGGCTTTTCGTGCCTGCGGTTGTGGTGTTGAGTCCGGTGTGTAGGAAGAGGTGCATGCCGGCAGAGGACGAGAATCCCAAGGCGGCTGGCAATATCAGCGACCCAAAGGATGCAGCGGTGACGTCGGCCAGTGCTTCTGCGGCGTCGCCAGCTACCTCGTCACCAACACGCGCTGCGACGGGGCGCTCGCTTTCGGCCTCCTCTGCCGGTGCATGGCCAAGCCCACCGACGATGTTTTTGAGGAGATGTTCTGCTTCCTCGAGTACTTCCGCTACCATCCCCACATCGGCCTCACCTACGAGCCGGGCTGGGATGGCGAGCGGGAGGGCGACGACCTTGTCGCCATGAGCGACGCCAGTTGGGAGACGCGCCGGTCCACATCCGGGTGGATCGTCCTCATGTGGCAGGCCACCGTACACTGGCGCAGCGTCCAACAGCCCTCCATTGCGCTCTCCTCTTGCCAGTCCGAGATCATGGCTGCTTCTGAGGCTACCAAGGACGTCCTGAGCTACCGTCGCCTTAAGGCCGAGCTCGAGTCGTACGTCAAGGACGGCGAGATCGTCACCCCTCCCGAGGCCCCGCCCACCAAGCAGTACTGTGACAACCAGGCCGCCATTGCCTCAGCCTACAACCCCGAGAACCACGGCAGGCTCAAGCACGTCGAGCGGCGCCACTTCTTCATCCGCGAGGCCATCGAGGAAGCCAAGATCTGTGTTCCTTTCGTCCGCAGCGACGAGAACCTTGCCGACTTCTTCACGAAGCCGCTCAAACCCCAACGCTTCTTCGAGCTGCGGGACAAGATCATGAATGTCAAGGAGCCTTCCTCCCAGTCGGATGGGAAGTGAATCTCCGTCACCGATCCGTCACCGAGACGGAGCGCGGGCGCCGGCGCGAGCGCGAACAGTGCCGCCCCGCCCCCACCAGCGAGAGCCATAGACTCTCCAGTGCATGTCATCCAGTCCATGCCCCGTCGAGAGGGACACTCTCCTCTCTATCCATGTGAGTGACTCGACTACGTCGAGGGGGGGGACGTCTGAACCACACGTGTCCCTCCATTCACACTCTCCCAGTCCTTCCTGGTCTAGTGCCCGTCTTCTCCGCCCGTCGTGCTGAGTTGGGCTTTCTTCGTCCTTCAGACGTTTCACCTAGAGCAAGCAGGGCGGAACGCCCCTTGGTCCACCCGCCGCCCGGGTGGGGCTTGCACGCATAACGCAGGACGCACATCTCACCATACAAGAAGGGGAGAAGGAAGAGGAGAGACACCCGCGGGTGAGGACGAAGCAGAAACTAGCGCAGACGAGAGCAGGGCAGACCCGGGACTGGGGAGCCGGAGCAGACGGCATCGACCGCCGAGGGAACGTTGGGAAGAGGCACGAGGAGGGCGGCGACCTCAACCGACTATGGAGGACCCGTCGCCAGCGCGACGCAGGGCAGAAGACGGTGAGGCGGAGCAGACGCGCAGGGCGAGACGAGGGAGGGAGCAGGACTTTGCGGAGATCAGCAGGAGGATGTACGAAGAGATTAGGAGCAGCAGGGATCCGAGGGACCATGTGGAAGACGGCTAGTGCTAGTCCCCCATCGGGAAGACGACCCCGGCTAGTCGCCGACCACACCCACAAAGAACCCTGCACAAAGATCGCAAGGGCGGGGACCTGTTCCTTTTTACCCATCTCACAGCAGAGAGGTGTCCGTTTTTATTTATTTATTTCTAAGTTATTGAACCGCGCCCGGGTGGCGGCATTCGCGTCGCGCGCCGCCTCCGCACGCCGCTCCGCGCCGCCCGGCCGCTTCCAGCGAGCCTCGCGTGGAGCTGCGGATGCGAGCGAGGCCTCTCCACCTCCTCCAGCCCCTGGCCGCGGCGGAGCGGCGAGGGCGGGATCGCTTCGCACGCGGGGGAGGAGGCGACACCTCCGCGGGCTGGCGCTGGCGCCGCCTGCCCCTCTGCGGCCGCTTATCTGTGGCACCCCGCGGCGCGCTCGGGATCGAGCGGAGATGACATCAAGAGATAAATAAATAAAAACGGTCAAACTCTGAGACGAGATGGGATTTAGGGACATGTGTCCCCGCCCTGCACGATCTTGGTGTGAGGGATCTTCAATCCGTCCCCTCACCCCTGGTCACTACCCGACACTAGAAGAGCAGCAAGAGTTGGCCGGCAACCGTGTCGGCGCTGCTCGGGAGGCAATGGATGGCTTCCTAAAGACAGCGGCGAGTTTTTTA